GGGAAAAATAAGGATTTGGGGAGAAAAAATGGGGATTTAGGGGGAAAAAATCGGGATTTGGAGGGAAAAATAAGGATTTGGGGAGAAAAAATGGGGATTTGGGGAGAAAAAATGGGGATTTGGGGGAAAAAATTGGGATTTAGGGGGAAAAGATTGGGATTTGAAGGGAAAAAAATGGGATTTGGGGGGAAAAAAATGGGATTTGGGGAGAAAAGTGGAGATTTGGGGGTAAAGAATTGGGATTTGGGGGAATAAATTTGGATTTGGGGGAAAAAACGGGATTTGGGGGAAAAAATTGGGATTGGGGGGAAAAAATTGGGATTTGGGGGGAAAAAATGGGGATTTGGGGAGAAAAATGGGGATTTGGGGGGAAAGATTTGGGATTTGGGGGAAAAAATTGGGATTTGGGGGAAAAAATTGGGATTTGGGGGAAAAATTGGGATTTGGGGGGAAAAAAATTGGGATTTGGGGGGAAAGAATTGGGATTTGGGGGGAAAGAATTGAGATTTGGGGTTTGGGAAGCGTCAGAGCGTTTACTTCGATCCAAAATCACGGAAAATTCAGGAATTTTGCGTCATCAGCCACTTCCGGGGAGGGAAAAAGGGGGATCAGCCCCACCCCACCCAAAAAACTCACCTGGAAACCCCAAAAATCCACCTGGAACCGCCCAAAAATTCACCTGGAGACCCCAAAAACTGCCCTGGGAGACCCCAAAATTCTGAGGGACCCCAAATTCCCAATCCCAGGGGGGTCAGGGGGTCCCAAATTCCCATTTTTTCTCCCCCTCAGTTTTTCCCTTTCCGGGGCCGTTGGAAATTTGGGATTTTCCGGGGGTTCGGGAGCTCCCCCCGCTGGGATTTGGGGTTTTTGGGGTGTCCCGGGTGGGATTTGGGGGTTCCAGGATGTCCCGGGCGGGGTTTTTGGGATCCAGGGTGGGATTTGGGTGTTCCAGGATGGGATTTTGGGGCTCCCCGTTGGGATTTGGGAATTCCAGGCTGTCTTGGGTGGGATTTCGGGGTCCCAGGTTGGGATTTCGGGGTTCCAGGATGGGATTTTTGGGATCCAGGACGGAATTTGGGGGTTCCCCGTTGGGATTTGGGAATTCCAGAATGTCCTGGCCGGGATTTTGGGGTCCCAGGTTGGGATTTTGGGGTCCCAGGTTGGGATTTTGGGGTTCCAGGATGGGATTTTGGGGTCCCAGGTTGGGATTTTGGGGTCCCAGGATGGGATTTTGGGGTCCCAGGATGGGATTTTGGGGTTCCAGGATGGGATTTTTGGTTCCTCTTCCGTCGTTTCCGGGCCTGGGGAGCGCCCGAGGGGCTTCGCTTCCTCTTGGAGCGGCCGGGAAACAAATCTGGGGGAAAAAGAGGGAAAAACGGGAATTGGGAGGGGAAAAAATTGGGATTGGGGGGGAAAAATTGGGATATGGGGAGGAAAAATAGAGATTTGGGGGGAAAGAATTGGGATTTGGGGTTTGGGAAGCGTCAGAGCGTTTACTTCGATCCAAAATCACGGAAATTCAGGAATTTTGCGTCATCAGCCACTTCCGGGGAGGGAAAAACTCAACCCACCCAAAAAACTCACCTGGAAACTCCAAAAACCACCTGGAACCTCCCCAAAACTCACCTGGAAACCCCAAAAACCACCTGGAACTGCCCAAAATTCACCTGGAAACCCCAAAAACCACCTGGAACTGCCCAAAATTCACCTGGAACTGCCCAAAATTCACCTGGATGCCCCAAAAACCACCTGGATCCTCCCCAAATTCCCCTTGACGGCCCCAAAACTCACCTGGAAACCCCAGAATTTCCATTTCTTCCCCCAAAATTTACCTGGAAGCCACAAAATCTCCTCTCCCCGCCTCTAAACTCACCTGGCTCAGGCTCCTCCCCCATCTCACCTGGCTCAGGCTCCTCCCCCAGCTCACCTGGCTCAGGCTCCTCCCCCAGCTCCTCTCTGTAATATTCGGCGTCGTCCTCGTCCGATGGCTCCTCCCCCTCACCTGGCTCAGGTGCGCCGGGGTCCTCGGCGCCGCT